TAATTGAACTTTATACTCACAGACTAAATTAATACGAATGAAAATGATTTGAAGGGTATTATATAATAGTAAGTATTTATGTTCTTTATTGATAAACTTGTTTTGTCTAATTTTAATTCCAATGATCAATAAAATTCCAAAGTTTAATAAATGATTTTATACTCACCCGCTGAATGAGATGATTAATGCAAATGAAATGATTTGTATTGGTAAATAAAATATTTATTTTCTTGTGAACTTGTTTTACTGATTTTAATTCCTTTATACTCACTCACTAAATAAAATAATTAATGTGAATGAAATGTATTACATAATGGTAAATAAGCATTTATGTTCTTGTGAATTTGTTTTACTGATTTTAATCCCCAATGATTAATAAATGATCTTTATACTCACTCACTGAATAAAATAATTAATGTGTATGAAATGGTTTGAAGGGTATTATGTAATGGTAAATAAGTATTTATATTCTTGTGATCCGTTTGGCTCCAACAATTTTATACTTACTCGCTGAATAAAATGATTAATGCAAATGAAGTTATTGAAGGGAATTACGTAATGGCAAATAGATATTTATGTTCTTGTGAACTTGTTTTGCTGATTTTAATTCCAATGATTAACAAATACTCACAAACTATATTAATTCGAGAATAATTTGAAGGTTATTACGTAATGATAAAAAAACATTTATATTGTGAACTTGTTTTCTACTTTAATTCTGATAATTCTTTAATTAATAAATGATTCTTATACTCACTCGCTAAAATGATTAATGCGAATGAAATGATTTGAAAAGTATTATATATGGTATATAAATATTTATATTCGAATAATTAATAAATGGTCTTTATACTTACTCGCTAAAATGTGAATGAAATAATTTGAAAGGTATTACGTTATGGTAAATAGGTATTTATATTCTTTGTGATTTGTTTTTGCCGATTTTAATTACAAAAATTATCAATGATCCTTATACTCACCCACTGAATAAAATGAAATGATTTGGAGAATATTGTGTAATAGTAAATATTCTGCTGATTTTAACTCTAATGATTAATTAATGATCTTTATACTCACACGCTAGATAAAATAATCAATGTGAATGAAGTAATTTGAAGGATATTAATAATGGTAATAAGTACTGTTTGTTTCCCACAACAACGGGAATAAGAGGTACATCACAGTCGTCTGGGACCCAAAGGGCTCATAGCAGGATGAAGACTATTTCCCGTAGCGGCAGAATAAAGATATTATTCTTATTTTTATAGAACATCATGATGGAGTTTTATGACCTATAATCACTACTTTAATTAATGTCGCGGATGATGGTGAAATCAGATGATCGTGAAATCTGGGGGCCTTAATTTAAAAATATAAATCCTACTAAAACTTATTATAAACTCTAACCCTAAATCCTAGTTCAAATCTAAAAAAAAAAATATAAAAAAATATACCCTAAAAATGTATATTAAATAGGGTTTGATTTCACGATCATCCAATTTCACGATCATCCGTGACAATTAATAAAAAAAAATTGAGTTTTAGTAATGCAAGTTATTTTCTCAGAAGTCCAGAGAGATAACAAGCATTGCTGGAGAAATAACTTGCATTGCTAAACACTCGGTTTTTTTACTGCTTAAAGTAATAAAACTCTTCATACGATCAAATAGAAATATAGAATAAAAAGTGTAATGTCCATGATTTGGAATAAATGATCTTATACTCACATACTGAATGAAATTATTAATGCGAATAAAATGATATTTTATAATATTAAATAAGTGAACTTGCTTTGCTGACGATGATTAGCAAATGATCTTTATACTCACACGCTGAATGAAATTAATGCGAATGAGATAATTTACGTAATGTTCATGTTTGTGAACTTGTTTTACTGATTTTAATTCAAAAGATAATAAATGATCTTTATACTCACCGACTAAATTAATGAGAATGTAGTTTAAAGGGTATTAAATAATGGTAAACAAGTATTTATGTTCTTGATTTGTGAACTTGTTTTGCTGATTTTTAATTCCAATAATTAATAAATGATCTTTATACTCACGGACTAAATTTATGCGAATGAAATAATTTGAAGAGTATTACATAATGGTAAATAAGCATTTATGTTCTTTATTGGTGAACTTGTTTTGCTGATTTTAATTCCAATTATCAGCAAAAGAATTTAATACTCACCAACTAAATTAGTACAAATAAAAAAGTGTATTATAACTATTTATGCTCTTGATTTGTGAATTTGCTTCCAATAATTAATAATGATTTTTATACTTACAGACTAAATTAACGTTAATGCAATGATTTGAAGGTTATTACATAATATTGAATAAGTATTTATGTTCTTGATTTGTGAACTTTTTTAATCCCAAAGATTAATAAATGATATTTTACTCACCCGCTGAGTAGGATAATTAATACGAATGAATGATTTGAAGGTATTACGTAATAGTAAATAAATATTTATATTATTGATTTGTAAACTTGTTTTGCTGATTTTAATTCCAATGTTTAATAAATGATCTTTATACTCACTCACTGAATAAAATGATTAATATGAATGATATGATTTGAAGGGTATTATGTAATAGTAAATAAGTATTGCTGATTTAAATTCCAATGATTAATAAATGATCTTTATACTCACTCGCTGAATAAAATGAGAAATATTTACGTTCTTGTGAACATGTTTTACTGATTTTAATTCCAATGATTAATAAATAAATGATCTTTATACTCACACGCTGAATTAATGATTAATGCGAATGAAATGTTTCGAAGGTATAACGTAATAGTAAATAAGTATTTACGTTCTTGATTTGTAATTGGTTTTATTGGTTTTAATTCCAATGTTTATAAATGATCTTTATACTCACTGACTAAATTAATGTAAATGAATAGTTTGAAGGGTATTACGTGATGATAATAATGGATAAGTCTACTTCCACATCATTGATAAACGATCTTTATACTTACGGGCTAAATTAACACAAATAGTAAATATTTATGAGCAGCTGATATGTAGATTAATAGATATTCTTTATACTTACTCCCTGTTAATCAAAATTGAGTAATTAAAATTGCCAATTTTTACTTAATATAAAGAGTTACAAAAACATCGTAATTAGCTTACCTTTTAATCCACTCTAAATATTTACTATAATCCTCTTCCACGCCAACTCCATGATAGTAACAAATAGCAGTTTTATAAATTCCATTAGGATGATCCATTTCTGCAGACCTTTGATAATATTTAAATGCGTTGTGCTTATCCATTTCGACTCCAATTCCTAAATAATAACAATATCCAACTTGATACATTCCTTCAGAATTATCCAGGTCTGCGGATTTTTTATAGTAAATGAATGCTTTGTTTTCGTCTTTTTCAACCTCAATTCCATGTTCATAACAATAACCAAGCTTGTACATTCCGTCTGGATCATTTATATCTGCTAATTTTTGACAAGTAATAAAATTCATTTGATTAAATTTATCAATCATTTCTTCTTCCATTTTGATTTATACGTAAAAACAAAAAGAAAAAAAAAAAAGAATATTAATGTATCATACAGATGATTGGTATTTATTATACTGTTCAGCAGTGTACAAAATTGTGGCTTGACGTGTCCTGACTTTCCGGCGATCATAAACGAATTTGAAATCTTAACAATTAGCTATTGTATACATTATTTATTATACGTAAAATTATGAATTATTATTGTCAATTTATTGTTTAAAATTGTACGTATCTATTTTCTCATTATGCTTAGGGATGTTAATCGGTTCAGCAGTAATTGTCAGCCGACTTTGAGCAAAATGCATTTTTAACCCATAAGTAAAGGTAATTTTTTATAACATAAGAGTAAATGGGACCGATTAGGGGCCGATCAGCTAAATTTTCCAAATTAATGCGAAAACTGATAAACTAACGCTAAGGACGAATACTAGTTAAAAATGTCAATTTTTTGCAAATCTTGCTCGGCTTACAATTACTGCGGGACCGATTAATTATTATTCAGTACTGTATGTATTCAAAACACATAACTTACGTACCGTATTTTATATCTTTTTTTTTTTTTTAGCAAAAATGCCGTTCCTGATGGGATGGAAAAAAAAAATATCGATTTACGTACCCGTTCCTGATAGAGTCCTTAAAGAAACTCCGAAGTCAATTTCTCATGGCAATGCTTAGTTGCTATAGTCATTAATTCATAATGTTGATTCGACTGACCTAAATAATGACTCTTAAAATAATACATTACTGTATCGGGTCTATCATTTTTCCGACAACCACTTTCCTGACCAATAAAACCCCGACAAAGGACTAACCCTAACCCTAACCTAACGCGGACTAACTTGTCAGACTATATCTACGCGAGATAACGCTCATGGGCGTTATTCAATTTGAAGAGAGCTAATAATAATTAATTTAGCAAAAGAATTTTAATAACAATAAAATTTTGTTTGTACTCGGTTAAATTAATGATTAGCTCTCTTTTAATAATGTATCTTAAATAACGCCAAAGATAAATAATGGGCTGCCAAATTTTTACGTCATAGCTTTATATTCAGAAACAGTACTGATGATCCAGTATATAGTATAACTTTAACTAGCGCTAGTGGTCCGGGATTATCTACACCCTGAAATTCAATTTTAATGAAAATAAAATTAATATGCAGTAATATTAATCACATTTGAAAGCTATGTGTACAAATAGAATAACCATTGAGAAATTCTAATTACAACAATACTAAATAATATATTTTTTTCATCGGGAAAATTAAATAAGTGTAAATCTGCAAAAATCTGTATTTTACAGATTTTTGCAAAATTTGAAGTTTTTATACAGAAATAGCATTTAAATTCTGCTTTTATATCCACCAGGTTTGAGGTTTTGCACAGATTTGCATTTGATTTATTATTTAATTTTTTTGCAAATCTGTACAGAACTACACTAGAAAAAAAATTTTCTGATGTTGTATTATCAAGAAGTATCATTAGTTTCCATTTCAACATCATCGATATCATTTCCTATATCTTTATCTCTTAGTTGACTTGATACCGTCATTTTAGTTCCAATCAATCCATCACACCACAAAACTGTAGTATTCCATTTAGGAAATACTCGTTTATAAAGATTCATCATTACTGTATCCTGTTGTTTTATGAGTGAATCAAATACACACTTCATATATCCATGTATACCTAATGATTCTTTAATATGGCCAGTGCGACCATACTTTGTGGTTAATTGAACTGGTTTAAACCATAATACGTCATCTATTCAAATATAGCAACAATGTTATATTACATTATAATTAAGATAAAAATGAAATAAAAATGTAGGATAGACTCAAAAAAAAAAAAAAAAAACATACCAGGATTAAAAAACATATATCTCACAACTGCAGATTTTTTATTTATTTTAAACGGGTATCCGGTCAGAATAATACGCTTTGCAATTATTCGTTTCGGGTCAGCATTTAGGGAAAAGCCATTAGCCACAAATATTGGCGCTATTGCATAATTGATATAAATAATTAATATTATTAAAATAATATATATGACGAAAATTTCTTATTTTAATTAATAAGACTGACCATTAACATCACCAGTATCCTTGTAAAAAGTAACAGGCAAGTTCCCAAAATTGATTGGACCATAGATGGTAGCGATATAAGACCTTCCCGGATTAATGAATTTCTCATATTTATGAACATTATTAGTGCCTTTTCCTCTTAGTGTATTTTGCGAGTACAACGGCCTCACAACATACCGACGGAATCCACAATGCATGATAAGCGAATCCTTCGAAAGAAGTGTTTAAATTAACATTGAATGAGCAGTATAATACAAAGATGGTAGTATCTTTGATTTAATACCTTTGATTTAATTGGTTCTTCATATTCACCATTTCTTGTGATAAAAAAATTCAAGACAGAAATTTTATGCTCATATTCAAAGAGACCGAAAACTATAAACGGTCGAGATGGACTATAGGATTCTATAACGGACACAATTATAGTATTTATAAAAAAAAATAATTATTGCTTAAATTTTAAATTTTGCTTCTTTACCTGCTACTTTTTTAGGAACATTAGCTATATGTAGAGTAATATACGTTCCAACCTAAATATCGCGTTATGTCATGAATAAGCAGGTGAACATATTTTATTATACCAGTTAACGTTGTACCAACCTTTACACCGCTTACATAAGCAGAAGCCTGACTAATAACTCTGTTTTTTGTTCTCTTAAAATTTTCAAATTGAAAGATACGACCATAATCAATTGGTAAATTTTCATTTGGATCCCATGGCGAAGTACGAAAACTTTGTAAGCCTCGATATTTTTGAAACCGAATTCGTGCGGCAATATTCAATGGCGTATCCACTTCATCCGGAAATTCAAGGTCGTCTCGGTGTTCTTTTTCTCGACTGGCCAAATATTCCTTTAATCTTTTTAAAAGAAAATCACGTAAACATTTTAGCTAATTATGGCATAAAAACGAATGATGACTTAATTCATTGATATTTATATATACTGTCTATCTTCTTCTTCAGGATCCAAGTGATCATTTAAGCCAGTTTGTTTACTCTCAACTTCAATGTCTTCATACTCCTCCTCATCATAATTAGCTTCATAGTTAGATAAATGTGAATCGTCATCTTCATAACACATATTAATGTCACCATCCTCATCACTAAAACCATCACTATTATCGTCATCCGAATCAACAATCCATGCGGCTTGATACGAAGAAGTTCCTTTAGGAACTCGTTTTATAATCTTTCTTGGAGTTGTGCCAGGAGGTGCATTTGGTATATCAGATTTCATCAGCTCAGTATGACCTTATATTTATTATCAAGTTTATGGAGTTTTTATCAGTTTTGTTATTATGATCAGATATTGTATGGTGCAGTAATGTTTTGTCAACCTTCCGCGAATGCACTCCGCCTGTGTACTTTTCTCTCTATAAATGCACACAACAAACAAAATTCAACTTCTGCAATAATATACATCACTCTGGTTATATCGACATCCGGCCGTATCGATATTTTTTAAAATTTCGAACATTGGGAAAATTTTTTCTGGTCAGATCTGCAATTTTCTGTGAAAACACAGATTTTTACAGCATCAGAAAAAAATTTTAGTGCAAATCTGCAAAAGTTTTTAAAAATTGAAATTCTGCACAGAATTGTATTTATTTTCTGTAAAAATAGCCACCAGGTTTGAAGATTTGTGCAAATTTGCAAGTTCGCGTAGAACTGCACTAAAAAATTTTTCCCGATGAACCTATATACTTAGTATGAAAATGCCTCCGTTTAAGCCAACATCTTGATATATCGGACAATTTCTTTGTTTTTAGAGAGTGTCGATATAACAAGAGTGATGTGTATTGTATTGGAACACTCGATATCACGTGTTATAATTAGCACTTTCCCGATGAGTGCTCTGACGGAGGGTTACTGTATACAATATCGTGTCTTTCAATTTGCGTACCTTCATTACATATAATTTCCTCTTCAGTTGGCCATGTTTGCTCATTTGCCATAAAATTTGGCTCATTTTCCGCAATTAGGGATTCCTGACATGCATGACGTGTTAAAATAACACACCATAACATTATGCAGCTTGCAAATTCTTTTCAAGTTTAGTGACTTACCTGCTCTTTCGGGTTTGCAGTATCCAGTACTTTAATATCCTCTACCTATCAATAAACATTAATTAAATAAATCCTATATTATATAGGATATATGAGTTTATTGTAAAGCTATTTTACTTTATTTTATTTACCATATCTCTACCATCTTTGGATTGTTTTGGGCAAGACGTAATCTAAACCATGAAAATTTGCCAGTATTAATACATATTATCATGTATTGTTTCTTTTTAATAAGGTCAAAATTCAAACTACCAACCTGATTTAATTGAAAATCACCAAAGTTCTGCAAATGTATTAAGCGATTCGCAGAAAACGCAGTTCCCCTAGCGTATCCCGTAACTCTGAAGGTTCCTTTACTCTATTATTAAGCTTAAGAATTAAATACGAATGTATACATAATTTGGAACTTAAAAACAATGAGAAAAGTAAGTTACATCGTCATTATTATTGTCAAAAGATATTTCCTCCACAAGCATATATGGACGTGTCTCCCTCCATGAAATTTGTTTAGGAAGTTGAGTACATATTGTTCTAAGTATATTAAGAGCTTCCTGTTGACATATATCGAAAATTATATAATTTAAATGTACAAACTTAATCGCATCGCAATTTTATCATTTTCAATGACCTAATACCTGTGGTTGATCTGCAGCATGAATTTTCTCTTCATCAGGGAAGAAATGAGTAATGAAGCTTAAAAGTGATTTTTTGACATCATTGCGTTTTTTCTGTGGAATATCTTCTAAATACTTTTTACAAAAATAAGTTGAAGTGTTTTTATAAAAATAAATCTAAACTTCTGTTAAATAAATGCAAACCTAACATACCAAGACCGATGTTATTATTGATGGAAAACCTTGGGACTGAATAGCTTTAAGGCATAATTCTCCAAATTGATCAACCTCGACTTTTGCGGAAAGTATAAATAACATAAAATCCGCCACCTTACATGCATCAAGAATATCAATGAAATTACGCTCCAAAAGAATGAATTGTACTTTTTGTTTGAAGCGTTCAGTACTATCAATTGAAGTATAGTATTAATCAATGATTGTGTAAATCTTAAAAAAAAACTTTTCATACTTTAAGAAAGCAATGCTTCCGCTAATCGATGGAGCCGATTGTTCGACGCTTGCATATATATTTTCTACAACATTAAGTGAATTTACATCGGAACATAAGGGAATAACAGCCTAAATGACAATATAAACATGTAGCATGATTATTTATAATGTTTATAATTTAATTGATTCGACAATCGAAATTCAACAAAAATTCATACCACAATTTTTGGAGTACTATTTCGGCCTTCAAAAAATCTGTTAGCCTTTATCAATTCCTCTCTCTTTTTTCTTTGTTCCAACTTGGCAGCATTACGACGATCAGCCTTTGAAACAAAATTGGGACGTGGGGTCGACTGCTTTACAGATTTGCGCTTAATTTTACCTGCATTTATTATCTATGAATTCTTTGGTTTCAAACTACTTTATTAGCTTATAAATCTAACTAACCCTTTGCTTGATCTTTCAGAGAGCCTTTTGTGGCATGTTTTGATTTAAAAGGCTTATTTGTTTGTTTAAGGGTAGCCCTATGGTGAAATGGCTTTTCGGAAGGCATTTTGAATATCTTATGAATGTTATCGAAAAAATTTTTTTTTGAACCATCTAATCTATGACGTATCATAATGGCGCAGTTATACATTCCGCATTACAGATTCTCGATTTTGATTGGCTAAGAGCGACGATCAAAAAATTAGGCCGGAATTACTCATAATTTTACTAATGAAA